CGGGCGGCGGCGCGGGGCCAATGGGGGGGGGATCGAAGGCTTATCTTCCCATAGGGAAGCAATATTAAAAACATTACTTCTTGTAACACTAGAAATGATTGTATTATGACTTAAGACTCAGTGCTGGGGGCAGCAGGTGACTTGTTGCTAAGATAAAGAGCTTTAGCTGACTAATAACCACAGAAACGAACAAGTTAAAATAAGGCACACTTACAAGAAATATCCAAAAAGCATGTGAATCATACGGCTCAAAGTGGGGTTAAATATCTTCTGTCCACGCCATATGTGAGAGCTTCAGCTGATATAATTTACCAAATCCTCGGTATGTAATTCTAACCTGTTTGCTAAGATGCAGAGAAACACAGTAGCAGGTTGCCATGGTGCCAAAACACAAGCGACGGCCTGCACACATATTAAAATACACTCACCCACACATACACATACACATACACACGCACTCCCCCTGCCTGTGATCACTACATTGACCTACAGTATGCCGTACAGGCTGTTTGTGTAATTATTCTCACTTTGGAAGCCAAAAGCAGAGCAGCTGGTAACTCAAAGAACTACAACTATAACTGTTGGGGATTCGACCCCTGAGTTGCTGATTTAAAGATGATTATTGACCACTACAGGGTTCCGGTCAGAGAACACACAGACATCTGTTTGATCCATATGTTTTCTGTATTCAGCCTTATAGTTTGTTGACAGATTTACAGATGATGAATGAGTTTGAACAATAGATGACCGATGAATGACCGAGTTTCTGAAATAAACACAGAAACCGAATTATAGAACTGAAATACTAGCAATAGTAAACTCTTAAAGCAAACACACATACATTCACAGAATACAGGCTTGCTAGCCAGGTTAGCCACTTAGCTCAACTTTGGGCTATTATTTCGACGTCTAATTACATGACAAACACTGACAGTAAATGCATTTAAAACATTAAGTACAACAACAAACGGAACACTTACGCCACATAGCTTCAGATTTACACTTCTATCACTTACATCGTCAATGACTCGATCTGATTCGACCGTTGGTCCTACGTAAGATCTACCGTTAGCGCAACCGGAAGCGGAAACAGCCCGCAACGTCCAATACAATTTCAGAATAAAAGCTCCGTAACTTTATCGTCTTTGTCTGTGAAGAATTCACAAAAATAGCTATAATGCATCGTCTAAAAAGAATCCGCCCACTCTGGACTTTTTTATGATTCACTGTTTTTCCAACAGTGAATCACAGTGGATGTAAATAGTTTGTATTACACCTATCAAATGAAAAAAAACATCTTTTAATTGTCAAAGTAACAGATATAAGTAACAGATATCTGTGAATATAAATGAAAACCTTGCTCTTCCAGATACTAATAGTCTGAATGAGGTAAGACTTTACTGAATCAAATGTATGAGTCAAAAACTAATCAACATCCAAGTGAAAAGTAATAGTAATTATGATGCTAATTGGCCATTTTGTGATTTTTGTAAGTGATTTTAATCTATGTGCTAATTATTTTATTTTCCAGCACTAAAATGTCATGAGCAAATGGAGCACTAAGACATGTTTCAATACTGCTTTTCATTTAGTTTTAACTTCTAAGTGTCACGGTTTTGTGTTTTGTGTTTAATTGTTTCTTCCGTTTTATTTTGACTTTCCCTGCCTCTTGTGTCCTGTGTTCACTTCACATCCTGTCCTTGTCTATTTCCCACCTTTGTGATTGTCTGCCCCGCCCTTGATTGAACTCTGCTGTGTCTCATCACCTGCACCTTCTCAGTGTATTTAAACCCTGTGTGTCCCCTGTCTCATTGTTGATTTGTCTGTTGTGTATCCTGGTCCATCGTGTCACCTCTGCTCTCCTCTGCCGTGTTCCCTGTTTTGAAGTTTTGTTTTCTTGGACATTTTGCTGCTCATTTTTTGACTCATCTGCTTCCCACGTTTTGTGTTAAACATTTTCTTTATCATTAAAACCAACAGTATTCAACCCTCGGTTTCCCCGTGTCTCCCTGCATTTAGGCGTGTCCACTATGACGCCTTTAAGCATGAGATATGTGAACAAAGAGATGGTGCTGCTTACATTATGGCATGTGGCTCAGTTACATAATAAAATATTTATATGCTGCCTAATGGCTACAATGTTACAACAGGTAATAACATAGACTTCATCCTTAATCAATAACCTAGATATTAATCATATGTGTTTAGATTAGACACTTAATTTTAACCCCCAATTACTATTTATCAGTCAATACAAGATTGATTCATCGATGGGCCCTATAAACAAATGAATAAATAAATGGACTTTAGCCTATGCCCACATATATAATAAAAGATCTGGCTTTGTTGAGACTGTACATTTATCGACGTCCTCCTGGGACAGGGCCGAAACGCACTCGCACAGCGATTTCCGTCTCAGAATAACTCAACATAATCATACAAATATGAGATTACTTTTCCTGATTTCATTCTGGGATTTTTGGGGTAATGCATAGACTATTAGGAAACAAAACAATAACAGAAAACGGATGCATTTGAATACGGATTTGGATATAGATTACCATGAGAACGGTAGCATTCGGGTCAGCCTTACATGAATAACTTTCAAAGATCATAGAACGAAATCAAATATCTAGAGATAAATGGAAAATACCAGACTAAGCTAACCTTTTAACATGTGACTCGAGATTGAGGCTGGGATATAAATTAAAGCCATTTTGAGCTAGAGTGCCCAGAGGAGGCATAACTTGGCCATGAATGTGCTCAGGGACTAGACGATAAGGATTTCCATTTTGGAGGAGTTAAGCTTTTTACATTAACGAGCTCTTGCTATGTTTGGAGGCTACAGTACATTAATTTGTTTGCTCGGGCAAAAGTGAACTATACGTGTGAATGATTGTCTATAGCAGGGGTCTTCAATTAAAATTCCAAAAGGTCCAGATTGAGAAAATCTCCTCGGGCAGAGGTCCGAAACATTACAATAATATCTAACTGCGCGCTATATATATATATTGTTTTTTTTTGTTTTTTTCCCAAGAAGCCTAGTAGTAGTAACAATGTCTCTGTGTAGTTAACAACTGTCAAATCAAATAAAGAAAGTGCACATCAAATATATTTTAACAATTATTATTCTCACTTTTCAAATTTAACAGGATGGATTATAAATAATACATAGAAATACATAAATAAATGTTCTTCTCATTTCAAGTACAATAAGGGCTGGATTAAAGAATAACTGACATAAAAGAAAGCTTTTCAAAAATGTGCATCTTAAAATAAAGTAATTCATTTTAGAAAAATGAATTCCACTGAATTGCCCTGCAGCTTTAAATTCACTTCATTCAGGTGTGAAGTGATGTCAATAAAAAGCCACGATATTATATTTTTCTCATCTTCTAACAAGAGAAATCAGTGAGCATGGACTTTATCTGTGGTTATTAACACTTGTTTCAGCTCTATTCTCTCTGTTATCATTGTTGGGCAGTGAATTCATGCGTTAGGATTCTGATCATTTTGGGCTCTTAGGTTTATTTTCTGTGTCTCATTCAGATGTGAGAGGATACGTTTGTTCAAAAGAGTTGTGCTTTGTCTCGTTGTGTCGCTTCATTTACCGCTTTTAATAATCGTCACGGTCTCTGAACATATGAGACACACTGGTTATAAACTGTCCGTGGGAAGAATTAACCTATAAGAGTCTGTTCATTCTTGGTTAAAGACTCTGGTCTCTCTGGTCTCTTTGACCACTTTTCTCTCTTTGGAGAACGTGATGTGAAATAACTTCTCTGACTCACGTATTATTCTCCTGCTCTTCATTCTCTTTCCTCGTCTCTCCCACAGTGTGTGTACATATGACTGGATTCAGGAAACTTGTCAGAATACCCATATTTGATTGGCTGAGCTGCAACACGTGATGTGATTACAACGCATTGGTCGGTGCGTTTCCTGCACCGCTCAACAAGTGCCGTAAAGGCTAAAAAAGCTGCGCCGGTTAAAATAGAATCGCCCTGTCAAAATACAATCGATTTTAGGTCCTGGGTCCGGATCCGGACCGCGGTCCGCCAATTGGCGACCCCTGGTCTATAGCATATGAGAGTTTGCCGTGAGTCAAGTGGGATTACCTGCAGCCCAAGCAAATAATATGCCGGTAACTGCACAGTAGCCACTGCTCTACAGAACAACGCATGCAATGTATAGGCTAAACAATATTACTGCATGTTTAAAGCCACCTTCCTGATATGTAATATTAGCTAAACCATAGCATTAACTAACTTAATGGCGTTATTCAACTCGGTTACCAGTAGTACATTTACTAAAGTACTGCACTTAAGTACAAATTTGTGGTACTTGTACTTTACTTCTACTCCACTACATCTCAGAGGCAAATATTTTACTTTTTACGTCGCTACATTAAAAAAAACGTTTTCATACCTCAAAATCAGTCAAATTTGTTGAAATTAAATCTTCTTCACGTGTTGACTGAAAACACTGGCAAGCACATGCAGAACAGGTATCATCATTCTAGGTTTTTCCTGATAATAGGAGCCGAGTGTGATACAGTTGTCATGGCTTTGAATTGCTCCCTGTCTCCCCACAGGTGATTTTCTGGTATTAATATTTAAGATAACAACGATGAGGCTACTGGTGTGTGTTTATGGAGTGCTCAGAACGCAACACAGCCAACAATCCATGCAAAATACCGGTTAGAGCCTAAGAGCTTCGCTATATGGCAGACGACCCTAATTAGCACACATTTAGTGTACCCCTCTGCCTTCCAACTCTCCCTCCCTCCTCAACCCTCCCCACCCCTTGTCAGTAAAAGGGGCCTCTACACCCCCATCACATCTACAGCTCTGTAATTAAAACGCTGTAATCTGGGTGGATCGTCTCTATTTTTAAAAGCCCCTGTCATTGTGTGGGGTAAAGTGACACAAAGGGAAGCATCAAGCGCTGAAAGAGGAGGAGGAGGAGGAGGAGGAGGAGGAGGTAGGGGGAGATGGGAACAACCGCAGCAGCAGGTGATGACCAACTCTGTGAGAGATGAAGAAACTAATAAACTAAGTTTAATTGGCAGAGTGGCCAAAAGATGATTATCATCCTGTTATCCAGTGCAGCCCACGTACTTCACATCAACTCTTTTGGAATAACAGATTGTTTTTTTTATAGGAACATAAGGAAAAGAAAGAGACGTGCTTCATGCATTACCAACACAGAAATACAATCCACAACTTGTAAATTTTTTAAGAGATAATCAAATGGCGTCATCCCTGGACAACTTTAACAACATAAACGAAGGCTGGACAATACTTCAAGATCATAATTCATCATCTTTATATATTGCGCAGCCATTTGGTAGAATTCTGGAAATTGCAGTTAAAAGCTTGTAAAATATGTTATTAAAGTATTGTTTCCCACATTTAAAAAGTATCATGTAGTGTATAAAAGTTAACAATTTGTTTGTCAACACCAATTTCAGTATTTTATGTGATGTTGCATACAATAGCCATATTGCAGTGTTCAAATCATTTTCTGAAATAAAAGTCGCAATACAACATTATGCTACATTACAAGTAAAGGTTCTGCATCCAAAATCTAACATGAATAGAAATACATTAGTATTAAGAAAAAGTACTCATTATGCAGAATATCAGTGTATAATTATTATTACTGCATCATTATTGTTATCTCCACCAGGAGAATCATGCAGTAGCTTGCATGCGTCTGTGAGTGAGTGTGCACCTCTCTTTCTGTCTACGGCTAATTTCACATTCTGCTGCAGCAGACTGCATAATATTTTAGGTGGCCAGTTATGGCTGCATGCTCAAAGACCTCTCGGGGGTTAAGGCGACTCACACTTTCTCAAAACACCCTTTTACCGTCTGTTTTACCCGGCCACAGCTGACAGCATCGCTGCTAAAAATTTTCAAGTTGCTTTTATGCCGGTGAGATGGACCTGAGATGCGTGCCTTCAGAGAGCCGGTGGAGATATC